CGATCAGACAAGATGGCTGAGTTTAGCTTACAATAATGATTTTTTTATATTGAAATGTTTATGTTCAATTTGTTTCTCGATTTGAAAAGTTAGAACATAAGAAGTTTGAATGAATCGAAAAAAACTGAAAAGCTGTCTGAATTGAGAAATTAGAAGTTAAAACTGTAATGTTAAGACTATTAAAATAACTATAAAGTTAGGACTATTAAAGAAATTAATAAGAACCGTGTTATTAACATTTTACGAATAAAAATTATGATGTCCACTTTGGAATGTTTCGAAACAGCAGGAAAATGTTTAATCCACTCAGATATTACAAACTATAGAGTACATATGCGTATTAATACGAGATGTAATACCAGAGTTCCGAATTGAGATTACGTTTGTATTTTCTGGGGCTGCAAGAGTCACAAAGGTTTGTTTCATATACTGTTTGTCTAAGATATGTACTCTGACCACCACTAAGTCTGCGGCAGTCTGGTGCTATATGGAAACAAGAAGAGGGCATTTTAGGGAGGGTAGCTTCGATGAAGAGGTCTCCTTTTCTATCGCCGAAACCAGTCCTAAAGAGGGACCCCGCACCCCTACTTAAAATAATCATACCTCGTTGCCATAGTCACCGCCACAGCTCCAGACGAATGTCTGGCAGAGTACCTAAGTTAGACAAACAATATGATACCATGGGAAGATCCGAGCGAAAACGTGTTTGCATTCATGGTCCTGAAGGAGTTAAACTATTACGACTTTTCCTATTAAAATCGCTTTTAACATAGAATTCTGTAAAAGCCACCATGAGTGTATAGTTTTAAAATTCTTGTCAGAAGAAATTAATATTTAGCTAGACAGCTTACACAGGCCTGACCGTAACTAAAAATTGAATCACTTGGGAGGAAGGTGGTGCGAAAAACATTTAAATCACTTTTTTTTTCTTTAAAATAATCTTTATTTATTAATTTCTTTTTTTAAAAAGAAAATCGGTTTTTATGAGAGAAAAAAAAACAATGAACCAGAAGCAAAAGTGGAGGTTGGAGATCTGAGCAAATAAGGTTGCAGTACACTATAAGGTGCTATTACGTAAACAATCTTACGTAAATTATTTAAATGTTACTATAAAAATACTCAATATACATATTATAAGAACATGTTTCTATGAACTAAAATAAAGAACCAAAATTTACTTTTAAAATTTTTTTAAATAATATAGTTATTAGTAAAAATATCCTAAAAAGTATGATTTTGCGTTAAAGCAATAATATTTACTAGTTAAACTGCCAACGAATCTCAATTTCTACGAATTACGCTTCAAGTTCAAAAGCTAAAGAGTATGCATTCCGCTTCGAGATAAATCACTGATGCGCATCAATTCATTTTGAATGGCATAAATCCCATTTTGATATGCATAAAACCCACTATGAGTCAGACTTGAAAGCTACGTTCCATACGTATGGCTCAAGCCATAGTTAAGCATCAAATTTTCTTTGAGTTAGATAGTTGATGAGTCAATTCCATTTTGAGTTAGACTGCAGATGTGTATCAATTACGTTTCCAGTTCAAAAGCTAAAGCGTATGGATTCCGCTTTGAGATTGATCACTGATGCGCATCAATTCGTTTTGATGGTATGTTAAATCCCACTTTGAGTCCCATTTGAAAATTTCGTTTAGAGTTAATCCATTGTTAGGCATCAAATCTTTGAATTAGATAACTGATGTATCAATTCCATTTTGAGTTACATTGCAGATGTGTATCAATTCCACTTCGAGTTAGGTTGAAAATATATATAGGAAAGGGGGTAAGAATAAATTTTCCTCTTTGAAACTTTAAAACTACATATATTTCAATTAATTAGAATGACGAAAAAATTCAGAAAAGTATAAAAATCAATTTATAGAAGTGTTATTGTACGCTTCGTTTTTATCACGATGACCAATTAACTCGACACTACTACTATTAAAGAAGGGCGATTTCAAAACATAAAATTTTTTTTCTTCTAAATTCATTAAAATTCTCAATTAAATTTAATAAATTTTTACATTTTTTGGATAAATCAGTGATGTTATTTACCACCAACATTTGATAAGTCTCAAATATCATCTAATAAAATCCGCAAGTGAGACTAGAAATCGACTTTTTAAATTTATTAAAATAGGTACATCATATGGTTAATTATTACATTATTCCTTAAAAACTAAATAATAAGTGATTATGATTGATAGTGAGCAAAGAAAATTTAATGCAAAAAATAACTTTTAGTGAATATTCATTACTTTTTTTTTATTTTACTTATCTATAGTCGAAAAAAATTTTGAATAGTAAGGTGAGCAATTTTTCACATCATTTTAAAGAATGCAATTTTACATAGCAAAATACAATATTTCAGCAAAATTGGAGGAATATTTTCTGATGAATAGAGTTTTGAAAGAAATCGTGTTTTTAAATTTCGATTTCTCAGGAACTATTCGACCGATTCACTTAAATTTGTATTTTGCTATTTAAAACTGCATTCTTTAAAATGATGTAAAGAACTGCACACCACGCAGTTTAAACATTTTTCTACTATTATTAAGTAAAATAATAAATATTTAGTAAAAGTTATATTTTGTATGGAATCATCTTTGGATAAACGAGTTTTATAATTGTGGACAAAAAATTTTCAAAAGTTCCCAAGATGTGGTAAAATACGCAAAAAAAATATATATATATATATATAGCATTATATATTTATAATAATGTTATTATAGCATAATATATAGCATTAAGGAGTCTTAACTTTGAAACTAACTGAACTCCTGACTAAACTATTGGGACCGAATTTCTGAGGTTGTGGCTATCCTCTTTATTTTGGGGGTCAAAAATCCGAATCCGTTAAGAAAAAGAAAGAAAGGTTTATTCAGAGAAAGAACGTTTCCGAGTCTAAATTCGTTATTTAAAATATCATCTGCACTAATTAATTAGCATATTTAAGGACACCTCTTCGAACCATTAAAATTGAGTCCTAGAACATGAAGATCTGATCATTAGATCAAAAGCTCAAGATAGACAATTTATTATTTTTATTTTTTTGCTCATTGTACATTGAGCACTAAAAAATGTATCGTCTTAACGAACTTTTGCTTTTAAATTCGGATTTTCATGTATAATGACATTGAGTGCCAATTTTATGAATCAAATGGTTTACCCTAAATAAGCTAATGAGATACACACACATAATTATTTTGATTAAATTTAGACACAAAAACGCATTTATTCCTTTTGTTTTTGAACAATCTTTGGATTTTTAACCATAAAATAAGGGGAGGGGGGCGCAACAATCTGGAAGTTAATGTCCATATTAGTTAAATCACAAGAGCATTTGAAAGTTCGGCCCATAAATATTAAAATGTTAATTTTCCTTTGCTTATTTTGCATCATCTCGGAACACGTTCAAGCAAAATGCTAATTCGTGTACAATGATGAAACTCATTTGCTCAAAGATAATTCTAGTATAAAAATAAATTTTAATAATAATTTTGCATGTGCACACATTTTTTTATTATGTTATTTACTAATTGCTGAAATTTTCTTAATTGTTATGTATTCAAGTTTTTATATCATTTCACATTATGTAATTTTAAATAAAAAAAAATGCATAATTTGAAGGAAATCAGTGAATAGCTTTCAAATAATAAAATTTTTAAAAAAAGTCAGATATTTTATTTTTGTTGCTCAAAAATGATTTGGCATAATAAAAATAATATAGTAATATTACAAATCGAGGCATGAATGATTTTCAAAAAATGAAATAATTTACGCAGTGATGCTTTGTAATTTTAAACAATAAATTTTTGTTTTTGATTATACGTTTGATTTTGTTTTTGATTGTTATGACATACTAGTACATATTTCATTACACAAATTGTTGTATATGTACTGTTATAATATTTAAAATGAGAAGGCTATTCTTAGAACATTTTATATATTTTTGTGATGTAAATTGTTATGTTATTTAAAATTAGTAAGTTATTCTTAGGATATTTTATATCTTGAGCATATTTTATTTATTTATTTTTTTTTGTAATATAAATCTTTGTATAGTTGTCCTATTAAAAATGTTTAAGTCATTCTTGGAATATTTTTTTAATTTTTGTGATATAAATTGCTGTATTGTTACATTATTTATAATTTGCTTGTTATTTTTAGGATATTTTATGTGAAAATAAGACTAAGTAGTTTATGTACGTTTCTTATTAGGGGTCTAAAGTCATTAATGAAATACATATTATTTATTTGGTAAAAAAATATTATTAATTAATTTAGATATTTCATATTTAAAATATTTTTATGTTTAAAATATTCTTTTTATTTAAAAAATTAAAATGGCAAAATAATGCAATTCTTTTACTGTTATTGTTCATTATTAACTACATTATATAGAAGTTTTTTTCATGACATTATTTGATGTAGAAAGTGTAAGTTGGGCATTCAAAAAAAAAATAATAATAAATAAATAAATAAAGTGTCTTATAAAATAAAGTTTTTTATTACCTCGATAAATGCAAATAACGATAGTTATAAATAATTAACGGTCTAAATAAGATCATCCACGTAAAGATTACAGTCTTATTTCAACACATTTTTTTAAATAATTTTTTTATTCGAAAACTTACCTACATGGTAGCAATATATTAATATAATTATAGTATGTTTTATTTTTAGAAAAAATAATTATTAAAAGATAAAGGCTTTTCAAATTAGCATTATCTACTAGCCTTATCTAAAGAAGTAAAATTTTGCCATCAAAAACGGCCACCAGTAAAATGCCGTTGCGACTATTAGGTGGTTTTTTCTTCTTCTTCTAATCAAAACGATTGGAAGAAAAAAAAAACAGTTTTTTTCCCCACCTGTTCCCTAAATGTGCATCCCTTATTGCCGACAGAGGTCCGGTGGTCGTCCTTCGACCAATGAGATTTCATCGGTGGTTTCTGGATCTTGCGGTATCGTCTGAGCCAAAGGGGTGGTCGACAAGAGAGAGTCGTGTGTGAAACACCTGACATTTACCTGTCTTTCTGTAATAGCTATCATACCAGTGGTTGAGGATAACTAATACGGGACCTGCCGTCCGCGTGCCGAGACCATGCGGCATCCCTGCAGGTGACCATGCATCCCTGCTCACTGACTATCAAGAATCTTCATTTCTTGATTTTGATATTTAGCATCTTTAATTTTTGTCAACACCTTAGGTAAGTCCACATTTTTTTTCAAAATTTAATAAACAAAAAAATTATTGGTTTCAAAATAAAAAAAATCTCTACGTCTTGAAATTTTGACAAATGTATGTCTGAAAAAATACATCTTTTGCTTGAATAAGTGTTTCATAATTAAGAAAAAATCTGCCAGAAAAAAAATTTACATCTTTTTTAAAAACTTTTCTAAATATATGTCCGAAAAATTCATATTTTGCTCGAATATATGTTTTATAATTAAAAGTAAATATATCTAAATAAAACCTATTTTGCATGTCTTCCTTAAATTATGCTAAATATAATATATCCAAGAAAATACATATTTTGCTTGAATAAATGTTTCATTATTTAAAGTAAATCTTTCAGCAAAAAAATTCTTTTTTCACATCTTAAAACTTTTCTAAATATATATCCAAGAAAATGCATATTTTGCTTGAATAAATGTTTCATTATTAAAAGTAAATCTATCTAAATAAGAATATTTTTTTCTTTGTCTAAACACACTACAAAAATCGATGTTTTGCTCATAAATACAAATAAAAAAATATTTTAAATTTTGGCTTCATACATCATTAAAGATGAAAACCATCGCTTAGGATGAAAGTCAAAAGTAAATAATTGCTGACACGGTAAAAAACTTTGGATCAAATAGCGGTAAAAGTACCGGCACTCAGGGTGCCAGTACTTTTTACCGTAAAATTGATTTTTACTGTAAAACTTTCCGGAACAAAAAATGTGATATACCATCATTTTTATGTAATATTAATTGTATAATCACTGAATGACTGTATTTAAATAAATATCACGGTATAAAATTTTACGGTAAAAATGGATAATAATATAACATTTTGACTATGAAATTTATATAAAATTAAAAATATAATAAAATAAAAAAATGGATATAAAATTTTACGGCTGCTGTACTCAGGGGGCCAGTACTTTTTACCGTAATTTGATACTGAATTTTTTACAGTGTAAACAGTTATATCCATTTGAGACCCTACCTTTAAATAATTGCTATTATAATTTCCAAGTAAAAATCTTATTAATCGCTAATTGCTTTGTTTTATGAACGATGTCAAACGATAAGAATCAATATTTAAAATGTTTATGTAGTTTAAACTATTTCAAAAATTGAATTTAGAGTGGTTATTTTTTGAATGCGCTGTTTTATTCATTTTTTAGAAAATATGTAAATAAAGCATCTTTTACTAAATTGTTTGATTGAAAATACAAAAAAATTAGTGAAAAATAATGTTGCGATTAAAAAAAATATTTTCATCTTATAAAATTCAAATTAAGATATTTTTTTAAAAATTTTATATATGTTTTTTTTAAATAATGAATGATTTAAAATCAATTCCAGAAATTTCGTAGCATAATTTTCCAATAAAATTCATTAAATTCTTACACTTTATTCAGAATTACCATTTGTGTCTTCATTTCAATACATTTATTATTACTATTTTTTTTCTCATATCAATACTTTCAATTTGAAATCTTTTATTTTTGAAAATTTTATTAAGAATGCTCATTTTTGTTTTCATTTCAGTATAATAACTTTTGTAAGATAGTTTTTTTTTTAAATTAGAGAATTTAATGAAAAATTGTATTTGTATTTTCATTTCAGTACAATATTTTTTTAGAATATTGTCTTTAATGTAAAAATTCTAAATAAAATATTCTAAATAAGAATTTCAATCATTGTAAAATTTTTTATTGCTGTTAACATAAATATTGATCTTTTATTCTTTTGTTATTATGAAAATACTCAAATTTTTGTTAAATATGAATTCTTGAACTTCACATTTAACACACCACTGTTAAATATAAAATAAAAAAATTAATGGCGAAATGAATGAAAAAATTCATGAGTAAATAAAATTCTTTTTAAATAACACATTTTAAGTGAATGATTTCAATTTTTGAAGGGGAAAAACAGTTTTAAGAAACAAAATTATTCGCTGCAATTATGATCGTTGGTGATTAATAACAAACAGTGAGTAAACAACCTCTAACACAATTGGCAAAATTTATGATTTTTATAAATAAATAAAATAAAAAAATCATAATTTTTTTTTACCTAAATCGGATTTTTTTTAAATTCAAATTAGGTTTTCATTTTTTTTTTTAATTATAAGCCTCTATCATCTAATAAAATGTGTTAACAGTATTTTATATTATTTAAAAAAATTGTTGCTAAATAGTTGATATTTCTAACTAAAATTATTCAAAAATTACTATTAAATTATTACAACCAAGTCACTGAATAAATAAAATTACGTTTATTTTCTTTCAAGCCAAACATCCTGAACTTTTAAAGACAGGGAGTAAATTTATCAGTTAGATAAACAATGAAGAGTAAGTTAGTTTCGATCACTCTTCATTGAAGAAGAAAAAATATTGTTAGTTTCTCTGAGTCGAACAAAGTGTCTACTATTAAAGGTATATTCAATATTCATAATCACTAACCACGTATTAAATATGTTCCAAAAACACATAAAGGATTCAAATAAATATAAAACTAACTGGTTATAATTGAAATACGTTCATTATCTGCAAATTATTTTACATGCAGCTAATGGAAAGTCATACTTTAAAAGTTATAATAATTTTAAAGCTTAGTCATTTCATAGTCATTTCAATAACAACGTTAGTCCTTTAGTCTCTAATTTTATTTATTTATTCTATTTTCTAATTCTATTTAGAAGTTTAATGATTTTTTTTTTTTAAAAATGAAGCGATTTAAATCGCAATTTTAATCATGATTTAAATCAGGGGATTTAAATCATGCAATTCCTGCCTAATCATTTTTATAAGAATGAAGAGTAAAGCAAATCAAACACTTTCCTCCCTATAAACATAATAATTTATTCTGTTGTTCTTGTAACGTTCTTGGCAACAAGTAAAACTTTGAATGTATCATTAATTATGTGATCTTCGTACATTTATTAAAAAAGACATTTATGCAAGCATTGCATAATAAATCATTTTTAATTGTCTTTAAGTAAACTTATTATTCTGCGTTTGTTACTATTGACTTTCATTTTAATAAATTTTGCGTTCAATAGCTTTTGGTTCAACTTTATAACGTATCATCCCAATTTCAAACTCAAATTTTATTAAAATTTGTACAGCCTATTTTTTATTCTTTAAAGTCGCAGTTCCAACTTTTACTAAACTTTAAAGCGTTATAAATAAAATTCAATAACATGAATTGGAATTCGAAGGTTATAAAAAGTTTTTAGCTTGAATACTTAAAAAAAAATCAATATTTAAATGATGGTGATGCAAAAAGAGCAGTTTTAAATGGAAGTTTTTCTTTTATTTGTACTCATTGATATTAAAAGAACTAATCATTAAACAATTATTTTTAAATGTTATTTTCAAGAAATATTTATTTATTTTAAAGAATTTATATATTTCTAAAACATAAAAGAGAAAATGGTACATAATGTTGTATTAATACAATATAATTTAAAATATATTCTTCTCTCGTATTGTCATTTGATTTTTAAAGAATTAAAACAGTTTTATAAATTTTTTACTTAATTTTTTTATTTTCTTTTTTTTGTGATTCGAATATAGAATCCTGTACAAGAATTTTACGCAAAAATCAAATGGAGATTTTTCTACAAGTGATCCTGCATTGTGAAAAATTACGGATCAAATTATATTAAGGAAGTACCGGGACACTCTGAGTGCCAGTAATTTTAACCGTAAAATCCTTTCTTAACGGACAAAAAACTGATATACCGTTAATTTTTACAATAATAATTACGGCAAAATCACTGAATTATTCTAATTAAATAAATATTACTGAAAAATGTACAGTAAAATATTTTACATTAAAAATGAACTTCACGGATGTTGAACCCAAAGTGCCGGTACTTTATATAGTCATTTGACCTGGAAATTTTTACAGTCCTCATATTTTTGTATTCTAAGTTAATATTATTATTTTTTCTTCATTACTTGATAGTAAGACTCTACTTTTTATGTGAACTTGCATCGGTTCTCTAAAAGCTCGGAGATTAGAAGTGTTGCTAAATCAAATAAAAATTAACGCTTTTATTGTTTATGCTATAAATAAATTCTAAATATAAATAAAGAAAACTTGACTATAAAAAATAGGTTGAAAAATTTTAAATTTAAATAAGTAGTAAATAAAATTACGAATGTAAAAAAAATTACCTAAACACATCTGATTAAAAGTTTTACCAAGCCATTTAAAGTGAAGGGTATCGCATGCAGAAAAAAAAAAATTCTGGTAAAATTACCGCACTGCTTTATAATTACATTTTTGGTTCATATAGCAACGGTTTACCGGAAATTCATGTTTTCAAAATTATGGCTTTTATTATCATACATTTAATAAACAATACAAAATTGGAAAGTAAAACTGACCAAATAACTAGATTTTATGACATGCTCAATGGTATCATGATAAAATAACCAATTTTTACCACGTTTACCAAATTTTATCACGGCTTATAAAATCATACTTTATTGTTAATTTTTATCAAAATCATTACCGAAGCGCTTCGATAAAAATTACTGAGCTTTTTGGTGTTTCCGTAAAACCAGAAAGACGGTAAATTGTACCATATTCTGACGATACTTTTCTTCTTAGTGCGAAGTTCTATCACCGGTGGCAACTTGATTCATAAGTAAAAACCGTTCCATAATAAAAACAGCCGATGGATAATACTGATAACATTTGCAAGCAATATGCTGTTAGTATTAAAAGTGTGGAGCGTTAACCTCCGTAACTCCTTAATATGACCACGTGCTTCGAATAATGATATGAATGTAACCAAATATAAATTTAGCTAAATTAAAAATGGAAGGTGAATCCACCCTTTTGCCTAGGACGTGACTCAAAGAAATACTAAATATTTTGATTAAAAAAAAACATTTTTTATTGAAAACTAGTTCTATAACCTCTTATTGAGGGCCGCGATAGCCTGGTTGGTAGGGCACTGGGCCCATGTCCA